CACGAACACCCGAGCGTGATACACAGACCGAAGGGAACATCATCAAGTCTTGGCAACTGGACGGCCAACCTGGCTAAGACGATCATGGACGGCATCGAGAACCAGCGGGATCTCGAGAATCAGCACGGTGGGCGCGCCAGGTACGCCAACCACTTCGAGGATATTCGAGCTTGACGAGATCGAGGCCAATCCTGCAGATGCGGGGGCACCCATGCACGCGAGCGCAGCGACGATCTTCAGCAAGCACGGCGACGACATTGAGATGGTGGAGTGGACGGCGGTGCCACCACTTATGCGAGCAGCTATCAAGAATCTACACGAGAGCCATTCGCGCGGACCCTACAAGGAGTCATTGGTACGATACTTACTTACCGCGCGGTGGAGCTAGTCGACAAGCGGCGCAGGCAGCACGAATCTTCAGATGCATAACGTGCGAGGAGCAGGCTCGGACGGCAGCAAGACCTACAGCAGCTCAGCTTAAGGTTGGGGACTTGCATGAGGCCATTGACATGGATTCCACGATCATACCCGACATGGGCAATAATCAGCACGCGGTGCTTGTGGTCGTGGATATTGCGTCGGCTTTTACAGTGACTATCTACGCGTGTCTTGGATCAAGACCGACAGCAGAGGCGGCTAAGAAAGCCTTCGAGCTTGGACGGCTGACTTGGGCCAGGCCAGCTACCGTGGTTGAGCAGGACCAGGACTCTACCTTCATGGGCGAGTTCGAGGCGCTGCGCAACGACCTCGGCCCAGTGATCAACGACGCTACGCCAGAAGCTCACTGGCAGATGGGCAAGGTCGAGAGGAATATGCGTTACCTAAAGGAGATGGCGACGGTGTCTCAATGCTGAAGAAATTCGTCGTCAGGATCCCGTTGCAGCTGCAGCGCGAGGCATGGCCAACGCGTGCAACCAGCTGGTTGGCACAGCGGGCTTTTCGCCGCGGCAGTGGGCACTGGGAGCTGGACATCGACTATCTGCGAGTTTGGCGAATCCCGACAACGGCCCAGCAGTAGTTTCCAGGGTAGCTGAAAGGACATCGTTCTGGAATCGACTACACCTTCAGCAGACATGTTCGGAGTCCTTTTGCATGGCATCTAACTCATCTGCTTTGAGGCGGGCAGTGCTGGCCAGGGCAAAGGCCCCAGCCAGGGCCTTTCCAGCAAGGGGAACTGCTGATCTTCTGGCTAGGCATCCTAGATGGGGTCGGAGTAGATGGGGTCGGAGGATCGCGCCGCATCGCCGATGCATCGACGATGAGGCTCGATGCGGAGCCCGTGGTTTTCCACGCCGGCGTCGCCGATGCAAAGCCGACGTCGCTGGTGCATCGCCGATGCGTCGGTGGTGCATCGCTTATGTATCGGCGATGCGGCGCGATTTTTCGACCCCATCTACTCCGACCCCATCTAGGTAACCTCCAGTGTCGCAGAAGGCAGCCGAAGGCTGGCAAACCCGCGGCTGCGAAAACGGAACTTTGGGAAACTGTGTGTGTCTTCCGGGAGGCAGCCCGTTTGCCAATCAATGCGCTGAGTTTCTGCCGGGAACGCGCTTTGTTTTGTTATGGTTGCTGGGAAGGCCGTTTTGTTAGTATCGCTCGGGCGTGTGCACTTTTTCCCGGCGGGGGTTAGTTCAGGAGCATCCTGGGTCATGCTGCGAAAAAGCCACGCACGAAATGGGAATGGACGTCCGAGCGACGGAGAGTTTTAGCAGCCACGGATTTGCCAGCTTTCGCCCGGCTTCCGAGTGCTCTCACAGAGGTTCTCGACAGGACACGGGCCTTCTGGGCCTTCTGCGAAGGCCCGCCCCGGGCGCGCCGCCGCCCCGCGGCCTCGAGCTCCGCCGAGACGGCGCCGGCTCGGGCCGTTGTCGTCGTCCTCGTCGTCGTCGTCGTTGTCGTCCTCGTCCTCGTCTTCGCGTCCTCGTCGTCCTCGTCGTCCTCGTCGTCCTCGTCGTCCTCGTTGTCGTCGTCGTCCTCGTCCTCGCGTCTTCGTCCTTGTCCTCGTTGTCCTCGTCCTGCCCTCTCCCAAGAGATCCGCTGCATTGTTCTTGGGATGCGGGATCCTTGGAGGTCTCGACCCATTCCCTGGGACCCGTTTTCCGCCCTGGTCCGCTGTTATCACGGACTTGGGGCCCAGCTGGGGCCCCCCGAAGCCGACGAAGACAACACTGATCGCACTGGATGTTTCAATTTCGTCGAGGTAATGATGGACCTTCAGAGGGGCCTCGGCGGAGTCGGCTGATCGGGGCCGCGCCCGCGCATCGTGCACAGGGCCCGTGGTGCCGGCGTCCTGCGCACCGTGCTGCACCGCCCCCCACGCCGCGCGCGTCCGCCTCGTTCTCGCCGCCGCGCGGCGGCTCGTGTCCGCGGTTCGGTCGGTTCGGCTGCTCGAAGAAAACCAATTCGAGAGTGTTTTACCCTCTGAGCCATAACGCGGGTTATGTTCCCCCCCCCTTCCCACTTCCCCTCCCTCACCCATAACGCAACGCCCACCCCTCCCAGGCTGTCACGGCGGGGGGCGGTGGCGCTACGATGTGCCCGCCCCCCCCCATTCCACCCCCATAATGCCCGTGATCGCCGCGACTTAAAAATTACCCCGGTGCGACCCTACCTAGAAGTTGGAGCCCCTAGGAAAGCAGCACGAGTTGCTATGCTATGCCATGCTATGATATGCTGCGCTATGCTATGCCATGATATGATTTGCTATGTTGCGCCATGCTATGATATGATATGATCTGCTTTGATATGCTAGTCTATGTCATGATGTGATATGCTAAGCTATGGTATGCTGTGTTATGCTAAGCTGCGCTATGCTATGCTAAGCTGCGCTACGTTGTGCTGCGCTATGCTATGCTATGGTATGCTTGGCTATGTTATGCTATGCTATGCTAGTGCAGCGCTGCGCTATGCTAAGCTAGGCTAAGCTAGGCTAAGCTAAGCTTACCCTCGAGGCAGAGCCTAGGTAGGGAACGGTCCGGCCATCGAGGCTAGTTCGGCATCTGTCGTACATTGCTTTTGTTTTGCCTTTCCTTTGCTTTGCTGTTGCGTTTGCTTTGCTCTGCTGTGCGTTACGTGTGCTTTGCTTTGTTGTCGCTGTTGTTGCTTTGCCTTTGCTTTGCTGCTATGCTATGCTATGCTATGCTATGCTGCGCTGTGCTGTGCTGTGCTGTGATGCGCTGTGCTATTATATGCTATGCTATGCTGCGCTATGCTATGTTATGCTATGCTTTGCTGGGCTATGCTATGATATGCTGTGCTGCGCTATGCTACGCTATGCTGTGCTCTGCTATGCTAAAGCTCAGCGAAACTAAGCTGAAGGTAAGCTAAGCTAAGATATAAATGAGGTAAGATGAAGCTAAGGTAAGGTAATATGAAATAAGCTAAACTAAGATGAGATAAGCAACGCGAAGCTAAGGGAACGTCACTGGGGGAACCGCGGGGCGGATACTGGGGGAACCGCCCGGGGCGTGCCCCACTGCCCGGCCCTTTCAGCTACGAAGTAAGAACTTTCTTGGCTGAGCCTAGGTAGGGAACAAATGCATTTTTAACCCATCACTATCTAGGCCTCCCAGATGGGGTCCGAGCAGATGGGGTCGGACCCCTTCCAGGAAGGTTCTGCCGAAGAAGACAAATAACCCTAGCAAAGCGCCCGAATGTTTAGCAGCAAAGCGCGGCCATGTGCACTTCATTTTCTTCAACCAGGGTCGTGGCCGTCTGGGCCAATCATGTAGCCGGCATTGCGGCGAGAGCACGATTCCTGATTAGACGGTGATGAAGTCCCAGGCAAAACGGCCGTCCGGGCACGGCGTCCTGAAGCTCTCCGTCCCCCTTGCGGGGTCTCTGTGTGTTTTGTTCTGCCTGCTCTAGAACGCTCTACCGTGACACGCTATTAGGGAATAGCCAGGCCAACATAACCTGTCGACGGTCCGCGCAGAGGCCTCGGATCTGCGCTGGACACCCCTGGTGCCTCCTCTGGCGCCGCCCCGCGCAGATCCAAGAGATGCACCCAGCACGTCGACAGCTTGTTTATCTTGGCATCGCTCGGACGTGTGCACTTTTTCTCGGCGAGGACCATCGAGGAGCATCCTTGATCACTCGGCAAAAGAGCCACGCACGAAACCGCAAAAACCACAGGGAATGGACGTCCGAGCGATGGCCAGTGATGCGCAGTGTTGGTTTCCTCCAGCTGCGTCGCAGTCTCACCGCTGCGGCCCGCCCATGGCCGGGCGGCCCCCCCGCCAGGCTCCCGCTCCGTGCCAGCAGCGTCGGGCGGAGCCGGCGCCGGGCCGCCGCTGGCAAGTCCAGCGGCGGCCTGCAGTCGGCGGGCGAAGGCCGGCTCACAACGACTGGTCTGGCGGTGGGGGGCGCCTGTGCCATGGGCGGCTCGGAGAGGTCGCACCCCCAGGCGCGCCACCGTGGGGGTATCGGGTTCCCAGCCGCCCTGAGACGGGCGCTCCCGATCGCGAAGCCGTGGATCTCATATATGCCGTCTTCCGTCCGCCGACTCACGGCGAGGAGCACCAAAGTGAGGACCACATGCCCCGCACGATGCTCGACATCTTTCATTCTGGATGGAGGCCGTTGCGCCGACTGCCTGGCGAACTATTTGCGTTTTGGACAAGGGCCGCTCGCGGTACCAGATTTGCCTAACAACGGTGGTCGTGGACGGAGGTAGCTTTATTTTCCGCGCGGATAGCTGGAGCCAGAAAGGTGGAACAGTTATAGCGCACTAGAGGCTTCAATTATTGAGGTCACTGGCCCGAGAGTGACCGCCATCACGGGCGGCACACATCGTGCGGGGGGGGGGGTCATCGTCAATGCCACGGCGATCGCGCTGGAGGCGCTGCGTGTGGTGCAACCATCGGCTGGCAAACGGCCGTCTTAGCCGAGGAGGAGGAGGAGGAGGAGAAGTAGGAGGAGGCGGAAGAGGAGCGTCTCTTTTTTCAGTACTCTCTCCTCTCCCCCTCCGACCCCAACCTGGGCGTGCGCGCGACGCCCAGCCCTCGTTCCAGCAGCGCCCGAAGTCCCTCCAAGTGACCATGGGCCTGAGCAAGTGGGGCGGGTGGTGGGGACGCCCCAGGCCAACCCCATGTCTGGCCATGAGCCACCTGGGAGGAGGAGCAGGAGCATCAGGAGGAGAGAAAACGCACAGGCACAATGAATCGTCGATTCCCCAGAAAATGAGAAAATATGGGCAGTGGGGGGAAGACATAACCCAGAAAATATGGGGAAAGTATGGGGAATCCTTTTATTTGTGTGTATTTATTTGTGTGTCCCAGGGTTCCTTCACAGACGGAGGACGAGGAGGCGGCAAAGGGGAACGAGGGGACTCCGGAGGAGCGCGTGCGCGGAGGAGAGGCCCAGAGGAGCTGCCGCGCACAGCGAAGACCGCGACGTTTGGTTGTCTGCGCCAGGGCGCGAGGGCCCATGGCTTAAGTCGGGCCTGTCCCTCTACAAGAGGGAAGACCCCAAAATAGTAAAAAGCAACAACAAAAATGTCGGGGGACTATTTTTGGACTATGTTTGGCCATTTGGGTGCATTTTTTGTCTATTTTTCATTTTCGTCCAAAATCCCTCTGTAGGAGGACAGGCCCGACTTGATCCAGGGCGCGTCTGGACCTTTGCCTCTTCGATGCCGCACCTCCTGCTGCAATACTGATGCGACTCTCGCGGGCAGGCGCGGCGGGGAGAAGGAGGATCGGAGCACTCGAGCCCATCAAGCCGTCTGGGGGTAAACTGGACGATTCGTACGGCTAGGACTGGGGCCTTCGAATCTTGGGTGAACCCCCTCTCGTCATCTCGCCATGTTGGCAGCCATGCTGCTGCATGCAATGATGAAGGCGTGGAACTCTTAATCTGCCAGAAGGGGAAACAAGAAGAAGGCAACGAGGACAGCCGAGGAAGAGAGGGGAGGCAGAGCGCATCAGTATTCACGCAACAGGCTGAAAGGGCCGACTGTGAGAAGAATGAGGAGGAGCAGGAGGAGGAGGACTCACATGTTTGCAGGGCAGAGCGGCGTCACCGGAGCGAGTGGGTGGGGTGTGTGCCCGCTGTAGGCTTTTCAAGGTTGGCCCCACACACTGCGTTGCTCATCGGTGGCGACAGGAAGGCGTGGCGCCAGGAAGGCCAGAGGGCTCGCTGCAGCGAGTGTGCTTCGGGTGTTGACACGCGCGTGTGGGAAAGGGATGTTTCCCCAAACAGAGCTTGCACTCAGGGATTTTTATTTCTGTTCGAAGGAACTGGGCCGTGTCTTCGGTCTGGCGGGTAAGTGGCCCCCGTCGCCGCCCCGTCGCCGCCTCGTCGCCACCCGTCGTCTGGGCCGTGTCTTCGGGCTGGCGGCTATGTGGCCGCCGTCGCCGCCTCGTCGCCGGCGGTTCATTGCTACCTCGTGGTATGCATTGTATTGCATTGCATTGCGTTGCAGAGCTCGCATTGCTTTGCATCGCTTTGCAGTGTCCTGGTTTGCATTGCTTGCGCTGTTTTGCATTGCACTGCGTTGATTTACATTGCAGTGTGTTGCGTCATGCGTTGCTACGCATCGGTTTGCATTGCGTTGTGTTGCGTTGCTTCACCTTGCTTGCTTTTCGTTGGTTTGCGATGTTACACAATGCGCTGCATTGTTTGGTATTGGTTGTTGTTGCTTGGCCGTGCGTTGAGTTGTCTTGCTTTGCTTTGCACGGCATTGTTTTGCAACGATTTGCACGGCTACTTCGCTCTTATGCGCACACTATCCGGTTCACACAACATGCATAAGTGCGTTAGCTCGTTCGACTTTGATAGCACACCATAGCTTAACACCACGTGGCGTTCACCATATAGATGAGCACGTTCGCTCGTACCAACTATATTGCACTACGAATCTTACACCATGTAGCTTACACCGCATCGAGTGCATAACATTGACGAATTGCACGTGCGCGCGTCGTCGCACGCGCACGTCGAAATCCTTCAACAACCTTATGCTTCCGTCAGGATTTCAATATCGAGTGTCCCGAACACATATAAAACAGATGGCTTTGCAACGCTAGTTTTCGGACAACAAAAGAAACATGCGCTCGCGTTTTTTTGTAACTTCCTCAGAAAACCATGAGTTTCCCAACATTCCCATTCAATTCTGAAAAATGGGCCTCTCGCGCCGCATGTCGAAATCATTCGAACGCGCTTGAGCGTGTGCTGGGGGTGGCACGATCCGTGTAAAAAACCATGCGGGCCACTCTCGCGCGTCGGCCGCGCGCGCATGTCGAACCCCTTCCGCAACTTTCACCACCGACGCGAGGACGTCGTCATCGTCGTCGGCGTGATCAGCATCGGCGAAGTCGCTGGCCTTGCCATCGTCTTTGTCATCATCGTCACCAGCATCGCTGCGATCATCCTCCTGTCTACCGCTGTCGACGCTGCCACGACACCGCTCCCGCCCAAGTCGCCGACTCGCACTGAACTGCCCGCTGGGAAGTGCCCAGCGGTCTGCCACCGCGGCCGCGTGGGTTGCGCCAAACGAGCTGGCCGGTGCGCGCGCGAGCATGCGCGGGCAAGCGCGGCCGCAGAGATGCGCCAGCCAATACCAAGCACTCATCGCAATCGCCGCCGCATGGGCCTATGCAAGCCAAGTTGCGGATGGGTGGGTGGGGTGAGTGCACGTGCAGTGGAATTGGCAAATCACCGCGACGACACACGATTGCACCACATAGATTGCACCACATGTATTGCACAGCATTTTTTGCACCACATCGAGAGCACAACATATACTGCACCTCATCTTTTGCAACGCATACATTGCACAACGTAGTGGAATCTACGCTGGCCAATCTAATTGAAGCAAGTGGCTTGCCACTCGCGTTACTTCCGGCCAGTGCTAGTCACACATTCACCCGCGAAGCTTCCGCCGGTGTCACACATGCAAGTGAACGCATTCAATGTCATGTCTCTCCTGACCAATGTCCAATGTTGACGATTCCTTTGTTGCGTAGCAGAAGCATCAGGGGAGGTGTCCCAGACAAGGTTTGAAGAGGCGCGCCGGACCCACTGCGCCGCGCTTGATGGTGTTTTCCGACGGTCCTCGAGCGGCCCTCTCTCGTTTCACCATGTAGGTGGTGCCTGTTTCGATCGTCGAGCGCCTAGGATTTACACGTTGCCCAAACATTATCTCGCGCACCCGCACCCTTTGCTTCGTTAGAATGTGGGAAGCCTAATGTTGCACCCTCCGCGTTTATCCTAGTGTCCGAGTGACTATCCATCGCTAAACGGAGGTGCGCCTTGCATGCGTGCATACGGTATTGAAGAGCGTTCTGCGTAAAGGCTCCCCGACGGACGCGGGTATGCCCCAGATTCGCGCACAGCATGTTCGGCGGCAGTTTGGTGTGGGATCTTGTAGCAGGATCGTCGGGATGGTATCTAGCCTGTTGCCCTGATCTTGTCGTCCTGTTATTCCACATCCTCCCCTGCGTGTACAGGGCCCGTCGTGACGTAGCATACGTTGGTCCTCGTTCCATAGCACGTGTGCTGTCACATGCCTGCGGCCGCTGCGATGTTCTGTAAGAGGTTCTCGCCGTAGGCTAGGCCTCGGTGGAATGATGCGACGGGTGGACAATCGGGCACCCCTCCACTGTAAAGTGTTGAGCATTCCTCGTCGTCTGAAATGCTCGGCAAACGAGAGCGAGTCTATCGGCTGTGTTTCTGGCCGTCGTCATTGCTGCTTTCCGCAACGTAATCTCCGCTTGAAAGCCCCTCGAGGCCTCCTAGGGGTCGTCTGGAGGCTTCTTGGGATCTCGTCAGGGCTTATATGCGGCCTCTGGAGGGTCGTGGGTCCAGCACGGAGGCGATGTTTCAGAGGTCTTGTGGTTACCCGCTCTGGGGGTGCCTGTCAGGAGCATCTCAGCGATATTCGGGGCATCTTGGGCCGTCTTTGACGCTCTTTAAGGTCGAACATGCGAGACAGCTAAGATCACACAAAAAGGCATGCTTTGCTTCATTGCTTCTGCCTGGTTCATGCACTCATCGTCTTCCGCTTCCCCGCCCTCGCATTCTTCTTCGTTTGGGAACGGGAGAGGTTTGGAAAGCGCGGGGGATGGTTGCACATGCTCAGATCACGTTGTGCGCGATTACGATTGTTTGCGCTGCCGCTCGGTGGCGGGGGGAATACGCCGTCCCCTAGAAGGCTAGACCAGGAAATCGAAGCTAAGTTCTACCGGCGTGGGATGCACGGTCCAGCTTCCCTCTTCGATGTTGTGTGCGAATGTCTTTTCGTCATCCTCTGCTTCCTCTTCGTTGTCGTTTCGTGTGTTCGTTGCTTATCATTGTACTCATTTGCCTTCTTTCCTCATCATTGTCCCGCTGCAGCTGTTGACGTACATTTGCCGTGCAGAAACCACGCGACTGAAACACGCGACTGGACTACGGTGCCCAGACAAAAAGTGTCCACACCCATGGCGTAAGGCGATGCAACATGATAACAACCACATCTTCGAAATGCCCAGGCTTCGCACCCCCAAACCCAAAGTTTAAGTGTCCACATTTTGTCCCTGGCCTTTGGCCTATCGCCCAAACCCGTCAATCGTGAATTTGCGGAAAGGGGGTGATACATTTTGGTCCGGCGTGTTTTGATAATTCAAGGTCTTGGCGGGACACGTGTGGACATTTTTTGTCCACCCACCGTAGCGGAGGATGAGGGGGATGCGGCAGGCCCTGATTCTCTTCATCCATTGCCCATTCCTGCATGTTGAGCCCACACGTTTTCTTGATCCTCGTGCTTGACCGCCGAGCCAGTTATAGTCTGAGCGTCGCCAGCTGGAGAGAACGAGAGAGAGAGAGGCAGAAAAAGAGAGAGGGAGGTACGTAGCGGGAGGAGAGGGAGCGGACGACATAGGAGGATAATGGAAAGAGGGGGGGGAGGAGTGGGAGTAAAAAGTCTTCGGTCGGTCCAGCGAGATGTAGCGATGCTTCAGCGCCAGTTTGCCCCGTCGATGAGTTACGTCTGGTACCCTCGAGCGAGCTTCAACGGATTGACGCGCATGTGCTCAATGAAGGTTCGTTGTGTCGGCATTGTTGGGGGCCCAAAGAATGTACACCACCACCACATCGATTCCTCCTCTCTCCTCCAGCGAGAGGGAGGGGGGGAGGGAGGTGGTGGTGGTGTACATTGTTGGGACCCCCAGTTGTGGGCTTGATAGTCGTGCTTGTCTGTCGCGGCTCCTTCTTTGATATAAGTACAGCTAGAGTCGATCAATACCCGTGAGTTTGGAGAGTGTGTGTGAGATTGTGTAATGCAGAAGGGGAACAACGTGTCGGTTTGGAAGCAATGATCAATTCAACCACCTGCGCTCAGAGAGTTGATGAAGCTACGAGCGGGCAGCTTCGTTTCTCTCTCTCTCTCTCTCTCCCCCCTCTATTTCTCTCTCTGTCTCTCTCTCTCGCGCTTCCTTCCTCCCTCCGCTCTCCGCATTCCCTGCTTCACAAGTGCTCAATGTGAATACTACCCTCCCTGTGCGTGGGGCATCCCCTCCGCGTGATGTTTTCTGGCACAGGATTGGTACGATCGGTTTTTCTAATGAGTTGATCCAATCTGGACGTCATCGGTCCTTCAAGATGGTGTCCACGCTGCAGCGTTAGCCTCATTTTAGGACCGGAGCGTTTCTCCCGTCGTTCGGAGTGGTGCTCTTGCCTCAGCGGGGGTCACAATTCTGGATCCCGAGTGCTTCTTCGTCGTTGTCGCCTCCTTCCTTTCCCATCCCCCGTCTTCCCCTGGTCATCCCGCTCCTCCTGATTATGTTGCTGCAGTTGCTCTTCGTCCTCCACCGTCCTCATCCTTCTCCTCCTCCTTTTGCTCGTCATCCTGCTTATCCGCGCCCTCCTCCAATGTACACACCTCGTCTTTTCAGATTGCGAGTAGCACGATGGGGTGCTTTTGGGTGGTCCAGGTCCGCTGTGACACCCGTTGGCGGATAGAGAAACAGCAGCCCAGTGGGAAGGGATGGGAGTGACGTACAGGATGACAGATGTGGCGCGAGTGCACCTCGCTTACCACCTATCCTCTCTCCTCTCCCCCCTCCTATCGTTTACTCCCCCCTCATTCATCCCCACCCCATCCTCCCTCCCTGTCTCACTCACCACTCCCCCTCACGCACCAACCAGCACCCACCACCACCACCGACCAGCAGCACCACAAGCAGCGCCGACCCGACAAGCAGCACCAACCAGCGGCCACCGACCACCACCGCAAGCAGCACCGACCCAGACCAACCAGCAACGCCCACCACCGACGACCACCGACCAGCAGCACCACAAGCAGCGCCGACCCAACCCGACCAGCACCACAAGCACCACAAGCAGCGCCGACCCAACCCGACCCAACCCGACCCAACCCGACCAGCAGCAACCACCGACGAGCACCGACCAGCACCACGCCGACCCCAACCGACCAGCAGCACCCACCAGCACCCACCCACACCACAACCACCGACCAGCAGCACCACGAGCAACGCCGACCCCACCCGACCAGCAGCAACCACAAGCGGCCACCGACCACCACCGACCAGCACAGCAAGCAGCACCGACCCAGACGAACCAGCAGCACCCACCAGCACCCACCACCAGCCACCACCGACCAGCAGCACCACAAGCAGCGCCGACCCAAACCGACCAGCAGCACCCACCAGCGACCACCGACCACCACCGACCAGCACAGCAAACAGCGCCGACCCAGGTCAACCAGCACCCACGACCGACCACCACCGACCAGCAGCACAACAAGCAGTGCCGACTCCAACCGATCAGCAGCACCCAACAAGGGCCACTGATGACCACCGATCAGCTCCACAGGCAGCACCGACCCAAACCGACTAGCAGCACCCACCAGCACCCACCTACCGACCACCGACCAGCAGCACCACAAGCAGCACCGACGCTGCAAGAAGGACCTGGCGACGACATCCCACCCCTCACCATGACAGAGCTATGCGAAGCAGTCGAGGGACTCCGACTGATTCAGGCCGCCGGCACCAAGGCTTTCCGAGAAGAGGTGTTGAAAGATGGAACAACGGAGCTCAAAAGTGCGCCTCTCCACCTCTACAACACAATCAGCCAGTTTGAGGCCCCGCCGCCGGCTAGCTGGAGAAGCAGCGTCATCATTGCGATTCCAAACAGTGGAGATCTCGCGCTTACCCTGAATTACCGACCGATCTGCACGAGACCACTACTGCACAACTCTTCAGACGTCTGCTCTACAGCCGGTTCCAACCAAGACCGGACTCTCGACAGACTGCTGACCAGGCGGGGTTCAGACCAGGGCGTTCGATTGTCGACCACCTGTTTACGTTTCACATTCTACGTGAACGTGCGCGCGGGTGGAACCAGAACCTCTGGGTCGCAGACGACTTCGGCTTAAAAGATTCTGACTCTGTCGAGCACAAGAGCATCTGGGCAGCACTGGACCACAGTTAATAAACCTTCACTATTCCAGCAGTAAAACACAGGACGCATGGCTACGGTGAAGACAGACGTCAACAGCAAACCGTTCAGTCTTCTGCGGGGCACTGAGCAAGGCGACCCACTCAGCTCTTTGCGGCTCGACGCACTTTTACAGCACGTCATTGCACAATTGGTCGTTGACTGGCAGAAGACATGCAAAGGAGCATGGCTAGGATTCACGACCACCTCAATGCTCACTATCTTACGATTCGCCGACGACGTGCTCCTGACGAGCCATGTCCTCTCCGTGCCTCACCGCCGCCTTCGGCGACATAGCCAGCCCAGCGCGACCCCACGGGCTCGAGCCACACCCCGACAAAACATACATCATGAACACCTTCACGCGACAGACAAGCAAGGCGAGCTCGCGCACAGCACGCGTCCAGGAAATTAAATCGATATTCTCCCTTACGAGGGCAGTCGCAAATATCTCGGCCAACTGATCAGCTTCCACAGTCCCATGGATACAGAGGTGCCCAATAGCACCAGATCTGTATGGGCATCGTTCACTTCTCACAAACAAGAACTGACCAGGAAACTTCACCCATCTGTACACCGACGCAGGTTTTTCAACAGCACTGGCACACCGACAGTACTGTACGGAACAGAAACGTGGACACTCACGGAACCATTTCGGCATCATTTCCGGCGGACACAGAGACGCATGTTTCGCATGATTAGCAGGACGCCTCGGCGAAAACGCCCCCCCCAGCAGACAGCAGCGGCATCCAGGGCACGACGGGCGTCGGCGGTACGGACAATGACGCGCTGGACAGAAACTCCCACGACGATTCCCACGACAACAGCAGGACCGACGGCGCAGACAGCAATCTGCCGCAACACGACACAGCGTCGACACCAACACGCCGCAGTGACGGCACCGACGACAACAACGACGTGGACCTCTGGGAACTGTGGGTCGAATACATCCAGCGCGCCCCGCGGCGGAACAGCTCGTGAAGTTTCACCACGTAGACAGCTGGGTGACGACACACAAAAAGAAGGCATGGATAATGGTTGCAAAAGTGGCCAACCACGCGCACACCAGGTGGACGCGGAGGGCTTTGAAGTGGCATCCAGACGCCCATCGACAACAAGGGGGCCACCGCAAGCGCTGGGACGATGAAGTTCTCGCACACCTACGTCAGCGCAGGCCAGACCTCCACCCAGCCCCGGTCCCTACACGCGACAAGGGACAACCAAACGACCCCACGTGGATTCGTACTGGCCTAGACTCCATCACTTGGTCCTCGAGCACCACCCTACACAAACACGTGAACGGGCACCACGCCGACATCGACGTCAAGGACCTTCCCCCTCCCTCCCTCCCTCCAGGACCTCCCTCCGCAATCATGCCGAACTCCGCGCCGACACCAGCTCCACGGAGCTCTCCCCCCTCCCTCTTATTTTTCACGCATCTCGCATGGCACGTTGTTCAGGCACACCAGATTCCTGAGGCCACGGCTTCGCCCACTCGGTCTTAGCTCGGCCCGGGCGGTGTCCGCAGCGGTGGTCGTTCGTTCGTTCAGCCGCTCCCTCTCCCCCTAACTTGTTCCTTCGGCCTCCCGCTTCCATGCCTACTCTAGCGACAACCCCCGCCCCTCTGTGTGTATCATCCTTCTCCGCCCCCTGCTCCGTTTCCTGCCATTCCTCCCGTATGCCCCCTCCTTCGAAAAGAGAAGGCGACGACATCTTCTGGAAGAACTTTCTTCCGGAAGATGTCGTCCGGAAGAAGTGGT